TTGATAGTGGGGGTTCATGCGTCTTCAATAAATGTGTCGCCAAATGAAAGTTCCTGTCTTGCAGGACATGGACTTCATGATGAAGGCCAACATCAAGAAGTGCCAGATTCTGTGGTCTAGTTTGAGAAGGAGTGGTCAACTGCATTTGCAGTATTTGTATATGGGCAGTGCACTGGCTCACTGAAAAATATGGAACCAATAAAATATAGATAGGGAATCTATATCCGATATATACATACTTATACATAGTGTATTGTACATGTCTGGCAACCATGTCTCTCATGTCTGGCAGGAAGTGGCAGAACTCGAAGCATGCTTCAAGGTCTGTTTGGGTCCAGCGACTCAAGGACATGATGAAGAATGCTGAGTATCCGACTGCTATGGCACCTATGGAGGTTGAGCCTACCAAGCCGTGCGCTGGGCGGGATGTCGAGCCCGGTGATGGCGATAAAGATTTGAGTGCTTCTTCAGACGGTATCCCTGACGGGTGGGCCAATCACCAGGTGGTGGAGTACGATGGTTCTTCTTCACCCCTGTCTAACCCAGAGCCAGAGCGCGATCCTGATTCCGTAGTTTGCCCAGTTGGCCATCAGAATAAACAAATTTGTTTCCTTGTTGAGTATCTCTAGACTCCAATAGCTAGAGGCTGCACCCTTCAGTGTCCTAGGCCAGCGACTGCGGCAGTGAAGTTTGGAACGCAGTTGCTGTTTTGAACCATCATGGTCATGAACGCGATGAAGTGGTCGACCGTGCACCCTTGGCAGTCTTTTCTGGAGAGGCCCTTCGGGTTCAAAGCCTTCTAAACTTAGCAGTGCACCTCCAGACTCCAAAACAATAGATCTTTCTTGAATGTGCCTCCAAACCTGTATTCCCTCCTGGCCTTCTTCCAGGACCCACCGGGGTATGAAGCAGCAGTGGTTGCTTTGGATCCTGAGCCCGTCGACACATCGAAGGGCGGCCATAGGAATCAGGAGGAGGGAGAAGTAGGTAACAAGCGAAAGAAGTCTACTGGAAGTACCAAATCTAAGAAGAAGCAAAAACGTGAGGAACCGGAACCTACAGTAGAAGATGAAACCGAAATTTTGGAGTCTTTTGCGCAGAGCTATCGCGCCATCATCCGGGCCTTGCCGTGTGCACTGTGGCCATCTTCAACACGTCATGGTGAGCACTCATACACAGTGTTTCTTACCTCGAATATTTTCTGAACCCTTTTGGATTGCCATGTCCATGAGTTTGTTCACTTGTTCAAAGTGGGGGTGTCATGGTTCAGTTGGATCCCAGGCACAAGGGCGCTGCGCGGGTGGAAGTCTTACTTCGACAGCAGGCCCTCAAGGCTAAGTCTGATGTTGATGGTAACAAGATTTCAGGTGAGGCGGCCAAGTCGAAGCTTGGACAGGTAAGATGCTAGTCAAGGTTGCATCTAAACACACCAAGTCTACTAACTCTACTATGACCCCTGCGTCCCAAACCATATGATCTAGATAGCCTGCGATCCAAGGATTTCCTTTATCAAGGACATTGACCAAGCGTGGGCCAAGGTGTGCGAGCACATGGGATTGCCGCACCCATCGGCCGGCGCCAGCTCAGCCAACTAAGGCTTTTAGGGGGAACGAGGCATGCAGCTATAGTGGTTGTCACCATTGTAGGCTGCCCGCCTCTGACTTATTTAATATTTTGGGGATCAAGTGCCATCCGCCAAGCTCGCAGCTGTCGTGGCGAGATGCCAGCAGGAAGGACTAGCTAGCCTTCGGAGTGGTGGAAAAAGGACCAGCTCGTCTCACCATTTAGTTGACACTATGTCAAATTGATGTTGGGACTTGCCCCAAAAAAGACACAACCATAAGCTTATGGTAAGGGGTATGGTTTGGGTATGACAACCTGATTCAATCTGACTTGTCTTCTTCCTCTATTTGGATGGGGATGTCTGTTACATATAGTGAGCCTCCGTCTAGCTGGGCCGAGGAATTGCATGGTATCTCGATGCTGTATCATCTGCCTGATACTTGGACTTCTACGAATCCCTTTCGTCATAGAACAGCCGGCGTCGTCTCTCATGCAGTACCACCCATGTTTCCAGTATCTATGCTCCAAGATCGATGTGTTTAGAGCGCCTAGCCCGCAATAGAAGAAAACGAGCATATGCCTGCTTATTCATTCCATCTTCTATCAACCCTATGGTGCTTTCCCAGGTCTTTGTATGGATTGGCAGCTATGGTGGTGGAAGCTATCTGCTTGCAACAAGGTTAACCCGTGTTGGGTGGTGCCATGTTTGGGTGAAGTGGTGTCCTAGGTCCAAAGCCGTCCTTTTTCTACAGCAACTACAGATTCATCACCTCGTTGTACCTGCCTTTGCCTGACAAGCCTGGGTGGGACGCAGATATGTCGATAAAGTGGCTCGGCATACCATAAAACCGATAAAACACATCTGAATTCCTCTAGTGGGTTCACTCAATCCCTTTACGCTCAAGTCCCAGGGCTCACAACTTCAGTTCACACGGGCTCAGGTACATGGATACATCAGGCATTTGCAGAGTGAGTGGTGGGAAGGACTTGAAGCATTCTCAGCACTACCCAGCATTGCTGGGTGAGGCTGTGGCTGAGATGTACGCCAGTCATATCGATGAGATCCACAAGAATGTCAGTGAGAGGAAGCGGCTTGACTCGAGAAGTTTGGCTGGCCTTGCAGCTATCTTTACTTACAACAATTCAATATGAAGTTAACTTGGAACTGTGCAAAACTTGAGCTGGTGAATTGAGCCAACCTCCTGTGTATCCCAGGAAAGCTTTGCTGTCGTTAAAAGAGCCCACAAAGCCTATCAAGGACTCCGTGGGCATACATGGTCGGGATCTGATCTCAGGTTGAACCAAAAAGCCAAGAAATTTCTCGGGTTGGACCCAAGAAACCAAGAAAATTCTCGGGTTGGACCAAAAGCCAAGAAAATTCTCGGGTTGGACCCAAGAAACCAAGAAAATTCTCGGGTTGGACCAAAAGCCAAGAAAATTCTCGGGTTGGGGACCCAAGAAACCAAGAAATTTCTCGGGTTGGGCCCAAGAAACCAAGAAAATTCTCGGGTTGGGGACCCAAGAAACCAAGAAATTTCTCGGGTTGGGCCCAATGAACAAGAAATTTCTCGGGTTGGACCAAAAGTCTCGGGTTGGGGACCCAAGAAACCAAGAAACCCAGAAAGGATCCATATAGATCAAATAGATATATCCTTCGATCTACGTACACACACATATATATACTTGCCAATTATATATATACACTTAATTACACTCTTTCCACACAATCTCCGGCCCAAGCAATCGCCTTGCAGGATCGTGCATGGTCTGAGAAGGCGAACCTGCGGCAGGTCATTGCAGCATTACGTGCGTAGGGTGCCAATGGGTCATGGGATTGACGCCCAAATCCTGAGAACTTAAGGGAGCAGGTCATTTTAAGGGATCTTGCTAGGATTTGGAGAAAAAGAATTCTAGATTTGGAGGATTTGGATGATTTTTCATAAAATTTTCTAGATTTTTGCACCACTTGAAAAAACCGAGAAACCGAGAAAAAGCCGAGAAACGGCCGAGAAAAAGCGAGAATTTTCTTGGGTTTGAGACTGGTCAACTTTTTTTCAGAATTTGGTGGACTCTGTCAATTCTTTTCCAAAGAAAACCGAGAAATCTTGAAGTTTAAGCAAAAAAACGAGAAATCTTGGACTCTCAACAGTCAACTGGCCATGGCACCCTAGCATGCATTTCATAATTGGTAATTGAGCACAGAGGATCATAGTCTTTGTGCGCTATAGCTGTTACCATGCAGGGTTGAGAGCGTTCATGCCAAAAGAATCTTTGTGCATACAATGGTGTGCGCAAATACGCCAAGAGTGTCAAAGCCACAGCATGACCTTATGCTGGATAGTCTCACATCGCTGCCACATCTACAAGGGTTCCAAGTCTTTTTGTTAGCTAGTGAAGTGTGTCAGCGCGATGGCAAGCCAAGCGCCTCGGTATCGCCACAGATCCAAGTCTGCCCCCAGGGGGCGGAGTCCAGACCCCAAGACTTTGAAGAAGGAGGTGAAGAGTAGAAAGGAGAAGGGGAAACCAGCCACAGCTAGGGATCCATATGTGACTCCACCCACAAAGCGAACTTCGCGGTCAGTCGAGTCTAGTGCTGAGTCTAAAATAAAGGCATTCAGGCCAACCAAGCTGACCTTTGGTCGCAATTCCGTGCACGAGATTGAAGCGCAGCATCCTCGTGGGAAGAAGCCTGGTGAGATGGCGCTTTGTGAAGCTGATGATATCCTGAATGCTTTGAAGGACCCCACCACCCCACCACAAAAGATTACCACACCTCAGCCTTGCAGGACAAAAAGCCTGTGTCGCCAAGACCTGAAGAACCAAGCTCTGAAGAGGAAGACCAAGAGAGCGATGAGACACCGAGCCTGGTGAAGGCCCGAAAGAAATGGTGGCGCAAGTATGAATGCCCTGGTATGTTTCCAAAGGCACCTGGTATGCCTAGACATGTCAGAGACGCCATCAAGACAAGAACACTTAGCAAACGAGCAGTCCTAGCAATGCGAGATTGGTGGATCAGATACCGCTCAACATGCCAGGAAAAGACAAAGGGAGATAAGAAGAAAGGTGATAAGACACCACGAAAGCAGGATGAAGGGAAGACAGCGGAGAAGGGAATGAAGAAGAAGAGCACAGAAGAAAGGGAGAAGAGCGCAGCGAAGGAAGAAGGTCAAACAGAAGAGACGGCAAAGCGGAAGCGAAAGGTTGAAGAGCAAGAGAAGGTAGAGAAGAAGGAGAAGAAAGAGAAGAAAGAAGAGGAGGCAGAACAGAAATCAAGGCAGAAGGGAGCAAAGGCAGATACAAGAAGCAGCAAGAAGAAAGCAGAAGAAGAGGAGACATCGGCATCTGAAAGTGGCAGCGAACCGGACACTTCATCAGAGCTCAGTGTTTCAGTTTCTGATTCCAGCAGCGATGAGTCCGGGGGAGAGTCTGAGCCAGAAATGCCAATTTCCATATTGAAGAACAAAGACGCAAAGGGTAAGGAGGAAGAAGATGAAGAGGATGAAGATGAAGAAGATGATGAGGATGAAGCTGAGGAGGGAAGTGATGGTGAGGAAACTGGACCTGGCGATAGTGAAAGTGAAGAGGAAACTGAGGAAGAACCGGAGGAGACCCCGGAGGAGAAAAGCACAGGAAAGAAGAGAAAACGAGAAGACGAAGCAAGCAGCAGCAAGAAGAGTTCGGAGAAGGCAGAAGAGAAGACAGAGGCAAAAGGCAAGAAGGGTTTGGAGAAGGCAGAGGCTCCACTGAAGAACGACAAAAGTGACAAGAAGAAGAATCGAAAGCACAAAAAGGAGAAGAAGGAGAAGAAGAAGGCTGAAAAGGAAGAAGATAAGGAAGAAAAGGAAGAGGGTGGCGAAGAAGAAGATGGTGCAAAGAACTCTTCAACCCATCGATGTGAATGGCAGGCGTTTAAGCGCTGGATCAACAACAAGAAGAAGTGTCCAGCCAAGATTATTGCAGCTTGCAAAAACGAGGTGGGGTGCATGCATACTGGGGTGTATGTGTCAGGGTGCATGTATGTGTATCCACATATGATTCCTCAGCAGCGTCGCAATCTGCAGGAGACCCGAAACCAGATTTTCAACGACTATGTCGAATTGGGGCGCAAGAACACTTCGCAGGTCGAGGCACGGTTCAACTTGCGGCTTGAGGAGTGTCAGCGCACACAAGTGCGCTATGGTTTTCGCAACGATGTTTGGATCACAAAGCACCACGGAGAAAAAAAAAGCACCCAAGATCATGCAGCGAAAGCGTGAGATGGGTCTGACTCTTGGTTTTAACTAAGCTTGTTTCTGAACACCCAACTCGACCCTCGCAACCCAAGCCTCTTCAATCTTCCTGGATCTTCCATGGAACCTTCATCGATCTTGTCCTGCGGGTAGTGCCGGCCCAGGACCATACAGGACCCTGAGTTTCCGGACGATGAGGGGGAATTGCTTTATTGGGTCTTGGTGGAATTCAATTTGGATGACATCAAAGAATTGAAGCGGATCACCCAGTTGGAGCTTCAGGGATCCTTAGACCCAGAAGGTGTGAAAGCTTTTGTGGAAGCTGCTCGCCTTCTAGCTATTCTTCTAGCTATTCTCAAAGCACAGCTTCCAAATGTCACAACAATGAAGAACAAAACAAGTTTGCTTGGATCTGAGGCTGGTGGTTGCCTAGATGGTTCGCAGCACCTTTCACTCAAAGATATGGCTGGCAAGAGTGGCATGAAATCGTTGGAAAATGGATATGGCTGGCAAGAGTGGCATGAAATCGTTGGAAAATGCTACTATCGGTATGAAGGGGAAGGTGAAGAAACCGAAAGGTCCAAAGAGAACCAATGGAAACACAGAAGACAAGGAACAGGACCCCAATGCCAAAAAGGCCTGGAAAAAGAGTATCTCCCTCACCCTCCCAAAGAGTATCTCCCTCCCGACTTCAGGTGACTGCGGATACACCCATCGAGAAAGCCCAAGCTCTGGTCAACCGGATCCTGAAGGACATCAACAGCTGCAGGTAACTCGTCTTACAAACCATTATATAGATTCGTTGGACCCGCAGCCTTCCAATCAATCGCTTTATGTGGCATATTTGTGTAAGCATCTTTAATTGTTCTCCTCTGAGGGAATTTGCCTTTAAATTGCGACCCTTGGCTATGAGCACAGACTTGATCGATCAATTGTCAGCGTGCGCTGTGAAGCTTGGTCGCCAAGCAGAGTTGCTGCAGCAAAAGATCAAATCAAAGCAGAACAAGAACCGACACTATGTTGATATCATTCGCGAGGCGCTTACAGCGAAAGTCTTTGGTTCACTTCACATGCGCTAGAGTGGTTCCCATGTGTCCATACATAGGTTGATACGCATAAAACTATATGAACGCCTGCAGGTGGATGAGATCACGGCTATGGCCAAAGGCCGTCTGGAACTTGCTAAGGCACTGATCAGGGCCTCAGAGAAGTCCAGCAAGCCCAAGAAAAAGGCTGCTGAAAATCCGGGTGATGCAGCGACTGCAAAGCAGCCATCTGCGTAGTCTCACTGAATGGCATTATGCATTTTGTGTTGCTCACACGGCATGGCTTGGAGTTATGGTTTCAAGCTTTAGCGCCTTGAGAGCGGGGTTTGAGAATGGACGTGACCGCTGTGTGACCTTTGCGTTCTCAAGTTTACAAGATCCTTAAACAGTTTTTGGCTACCGTTTACTGAAAAAAAGCTGGAAGTTCTTTCATGTTCTAGTGGTCACTTCCAGTGGTAGAGAGCCATTCCTTTGGACACGGGTGAGCCTGTACGAAGCGAAGGGAAACAAAGCTCAGAGTATTCCAAGAAAGAAAAACAGGTTGAATATAAACCAAAGGGTTTCCCTCGTCCACGCAGGTCCCGCTCCAGATCTCCTGTTCGGTCAAGGCGGTCATCTGATCCAAGAAGCGCCTGTGCGGCAGGTTTGTAGCAATCGTGGTTCTACTCTTGCGGACTATGGGTTGGGAATCAGGGGAATGATATCTCAGGTGCATGGGATGGGGGTTGACATCGATGCCATGATATCTCAGGTGCTTTGGATGGGGCATGCCACTCATCACTTCGGATTCTGCGGAAGATCTGTTCCGGAGCTACCTCTGCAGCTGATGGCTGCCGGGATGCAAGAGATTTGATCCTAGATGGTGTATCTTGCCCTTTAGCAGCTATCATGAACGAGTGGCATGAAGGCGGTCACGAGGAGAGATCATTTCAATCGTGGCTAGCATTCATGAGAATAGATTTTTACTTTCCCTTTGGGTGAGCGTCTTTCCTTTTCCCTTGCCTCTTTAGACATCGAAAGTTCTCTTGAGGTGGTGCCGCTCTACTTGTACCATTCATCTTGGCGAAGTTCAGATCCCGCTGGTGGTGACTAATGTTGAGGGCAAAGAAATCGAGATGGACTGCCCAACCGCTATCCTCTGGCCCTGGGATGTTTTCAGCTTTCTGTGGAATAGTGGCAACTTTGACAAGTGGGCTGCTGACAATAGCAACCCATCTGATAGAGCCCAAGAATATTGGAGGCGGTGCATGCACCTCGATTTCTTTTCCCAGCTGGGGCTGCGAGAAGATCAATTCCGGACATGCATCCCATTGATGTTTCATTGCGATGGTGTGAAAATATACAAACAACAAAAGGCATGGATCTACTCATGTGCATCTGCAACCCGCAAGGGGCCCAGCATTAAAACAAAGGCTGTTTTCCTTCTCTTCAGAGAGAACATGTTGTTGAAGGGCAAGACCCATGACGCTATTGGTCTTTTGGTATCATACATTTGCAACACATTGATGACTGGGTGCTTTCCAAAAAAAGACCCCAGTGGCATGGCTTGGCGTCCTGGAACGAAAGAGCATGAGCGGGCCAATACCCCCCTTTTGTGGGGGTTGGACTTTTGCCTTTGCCGGGTTCAAGGGCGACTGGGAAGCAAGAGTAATTGTTCACAAATTACAAAGAAGCTACCGGACTACTAACATATGCGAACATTGTTTGGCATGTTATGGTAGTGATTTCACCTTTGGTGACTTCCGCCCAACAGCTCATTGCCACCTCCTTCGTTTCAGCCACGAAGACTACTTGCGGATGGCCGGCTCGAAGAAGTCCGCCTGGGCATCCGTACGAGGTTGGTCAATAAAGCGGAACTTGGAGGATACCTGGCCTTTACTACAAAAAGATTTTCCCAAAAGAGTTAGGTTTCTTTCAAAAGGGTTTTAACAAATTGGGAGCTATGAATTGACCAACCTTGTAAGGATCTTTTGCACGTTCTCCACCAGGGTGTTGCCACTGTGGTAATACCTGCTTTGATTTGTGACCATTTGGAGCGCAAGCATGATGGTCTTACGCTGAAAGAATTAGATCGACTACTCTCAGAAGAAGTCTATCCTCACTACCGAAAATGGTGTTCAGATCGGAATGCTTTGGTCACATCTTGTTCGCATCGGTTCAGCGCAGACCGATTCGGCAAAGAGAAGTGGTCTTCATTTCCCGAGCTTGGAAGCATGTTCAAGGCATCCATCGTCAAATATATGCAGTTCTGGGCAAGTGATTATCTGGCTGAAGAGAGGGATGCAGCTGGTCCTGGGGGAGACCTCCGACTTTTCACCATGTACTCCTTTGCAAAGTTCCAACTGTTGTTGGACATTCATGGGGACTTCTTTGGAATAGAAACAAAGAAGGAGGTCATTTGGTACGCCAGGAACGGCTTGATGTTTTACCAACATCTGACTGCGTTGGACCGCCGCCGCACAGATAATCGCCGATGCTACAAACTGACACCAAAATTCCACTCGCTGTATGAGTTGACGGTGGGGATCGATGAAACAGGCCGCAATCCGCGGTAGCTATCTTTCATGAAGCTCAACACTTTTATATTTTTGGTTTGTTCCCACAAAACATGATTTCTTCCCATATGGAGATCCTCTGAGGTTTGATCATTGTTACCAAGATGAAGATTTGATGCGACATCTAGGAGCCATATGTTCCCGCACCCACCCCGCGACTATGGATGTTGTAGCGCTTGGTCGCTACAAAGCACTGCTCGAACACTGCACAGACTTCTGATCTGAGGGTCCGAGCCATGAAAAGGGAGGCATTCGAAACGGGTCCGGCGGGTAAAAACACAAACATGAAAAGTCTTCTACACTATAGTTCCTGCGTTACACACCCTAGTGTTCGGGGTTCCTGCCCAGTGAAGTTCTGGGTTCTGTACACTTCCTAGTGTTCTACAACCTGGGTTCTTAAGTTCCAAATGTCCTGGTTGAGCTAGGTATTAGATGCAGCTAGCCTTGAGAAGCGAGCGTGGGTCGGCGAATCCAAAACAAAACGCCAGCCAAAAAACATGTGCCCCCAACACACACACACACATATATATATATATTATATATACTATATATGTACATAAACACGCACGGCTCAAGATTCCCTCGACATGAGAGGGGAAACATAATTTGTGCGCGCAAACTTTTTGCATGCAAAGCATGTTTCTACTCGGTGCAATGGTGCATCAACACAATCACGCTGCATATGCTTGCTCGGTGCAATGGTGCATCAACACAATCACGCTGCATGCTTGGTACTAATTCTTGTCTAGAAACTCAAAGGCTTACATTTTAAGCCTTCATGTTCCCACGGTTGGGAAGGCTTATAATACAACACTCTTGGCTCTCTGGGGTGTTGTGCCTGCCACGAAATCTGCACACGCAGGTTCACAAAGTGCTGTGCCTGCCAAGAAATCTGCACTTCAAGAAACAAGTGAAAACTCTAATCCCAATGGAGGGACGATTCCGACCATGCCCGAGAATGACCGGAGACCGTCTCGCAACCGTCGTTCCGCAGACCTTGACTTGCCAGCTTCGGAGCCACCGGTTCCATTGAAAAATACAGCATTTCGTGCGTTCGCTATCTCTCCACAACGCATTTTGTATTGTGCCTGCCACGAAATCTGCACATGGAGGTTCACAAAGTGCTGTGCCTGCCAGGAAATCTGCACATGGAGGTTCACAAAGTGCTGCACCTGCCACGAAATCTGCACATGGAGGTTCACAAAGTGCTGTGCCTGCCACGACATCTGCACATGGAGGTTCACAAAGTGCTGCACCTCCCACGAAATCTGCACATGGAGGTTCACAAAGTGCTGCACTTGCCACGAAATCTGCACATGGAGGTTCACAAAGTGTTGTGCCTGCCACGAAATCTGCACATGCAGGTTCACAAAGTGCTGTGCCTGCCACGAAATCTGCACTTCAAGAAACAAGTGAAAACTCTAATCCCAATGGAGGGACGATTCCGACCATGCCCGAGAATGACCCGAGACCGTCTCGCAACCGTCGTTCCGCAGACCTTGACTTGCCAGCTTCGGAGCCACCGGCTCCATTGAAAAATACAGCATTTCGTGCGTTGGCTATCTCTCCACAACGCACTTTGTATTGCGCCTGCCACGAAATCTGCACATGGAGGTGCACAAAGGTGCTTGCCACGAAATCTGCACATGGAGGTTCACAAAGTGCTGCACCAGCCACGAAATCTGCACATGGAGGTTCGCAAAGTGCTGTGCCTGCCACGAAATCTGCACATGGAGGTTCACAAAGTGCTGCACCTGCCAGGAAATCTGCACCTGGAGCTGGAGTTGCCTGGAGCTTGAGCTGTTGAAACCAGAGCTAACTGGAGCTAGAGCTATTGAAACTAAGAGCTTATTGGAGCTAGAGCTATTGACACCAGAGCCAACTGGAGGTAGAGCAAACTGGATGATAAGTAGTGTATGATGAGTGGTGTATGATGAGTGGTGTATGATGAGTGTGATGAGTGGTGTACGATGAGTGGTGTATGATGAGTGGTGTATGGTGACTGGTGTACGATGAGTGGTGTATGATGAGTGGTGTATGATGACTGGTGTATGATGAGTTGTGTATGATGAGTGATGTATGATGAGTGGTTGTATGATGACTGGTGTATGATGAGTGGTGTATGATGAGTGGTGTATGATGAGTGGTGTATGATGAGCGGTGTATGATGAGTGGTGTGTGATGAGTCGTGTATGATGAGTGGTGTATGATGAGTAGTGTATGATGAGTGGTGTATGATGAG